CTTCATGTCCTCAACCACGCGAGCCCCTTGCGGAGCGGAGTGACTGTCCCCTCGCGGGAGACACAGCTCCCAGCCGCGAACAGCTTTGCTCTGGGGACAGCTCCTGCCCCTGAGGGGGGTTCCCTGCCCTACAGCGAGGTCTCCCTGTTAGGAGGACGAGAGGAAATGGGCTCCAGTTGGGCCATGGGAGGTCTGGATTGGGTATTAGGAAGTATTTCTTTACTGAAAGAGTGGTGAGGCCTTGGAACAGGCTTCCCAGGGAAGTGTGGAGTCCCCATCCCTGGAGGTGTGAAACCACACGTAGACGTGGCACTTGGGGACTAGTGGTCACGATGGTGCTGCACTGACAATTGGAATCAATGATCTTAGATATCTTTTCCAACCTTCATAATTCTACAATTCTAGGAGGCAAACTAGTGAAGCCACGCAGGACCGGGATGAGGAAAACCCACACTCACCTGAATGCAGCACCTGGATGGGAGAGAAGGGAAAAGACAATGTTGAAAACCAGCCCCAGAGCTGTCCCTGCAGCAGCACCACCGGTTTTACTCCACAAGCCTTGTCTGCTGTGGGATGAAGGTGACTCGCCCACAACGAGAGCACCAGAAAGGTCAGAGGGAAAGCGGGGAAGGCCTGGCACAGCCCAGCTCCCCAGAGAAGGTGAGGGGGAAAGTGCATGAAGCCCTCAGCTGGGGAAAGGCCTTTGTTTCCAACCCACCCTCCTCCAGGGCTTTGCCCAGCAGCAGGATGAGGCCCAAGGGTTACGGCACACCAGCAGGGATGAGGAGGTTCAGGATAAAACCAGGCCACCCCAGGAAGGAGGAATCTCCTCCTTGGCTTGAGCAGAGGAAAGCTCCTACCTCTGAGGCACAGGAGGGGATTGTAGTACAAGACGACCCCGGTGACAGTGAGAACAGCCAGCAGGGACAGGACCACCACGGCACCCACGACCCCAACGACATTCACCGGCTCTGCGGAAAGAAAAAGAGACATGGGAGGCCAGCTTGTCACCAGGACATGTATGGATGAGGAACTCCTGTCACGAGCAACAGAGCAGGTCCTGGTGCTGTCTTGGCTCCCCTTTCCCACCATGGCACCAGTCCCACGGGGACAGGGGCTGAGGGTTTCAGGCACTCGCACCTCACTGACACAGAAAGGATCATGGGGAGGCCCCTGTTTTTGTATCCACACGCATTTTTGGAAAGTAAATCAACACCTGCCCGTTGCACCTTGGCCCTCAGAGGTGTTCCTCTGCACTCTCAACCCCCAGGAGGCACCAAGGGTGCTCCCCTCTCGGGCCCATTACACCGAGGTGAGGGGCACCTCAGGATGAGGGGAGCCAGCCCTGCACCTGCGCTTGCCACGAGGCCACAGAAAGCATGGAGGTGAAGGGGGCTCCTGGCAGCAAAGGGAGCCCTTGCAGGCTCACCAACGGCCCCCGACCCCACCTCAACCCCAACCACACTCCCGCTTCACCGTCAGGCAGACAAAGAGCTCCCTGAGCCCCACAGGGTTCTGCGCCTTGCACACGTAGCAGCCGCCGTCGGTGCCCTGGGAGCAGTTGCGGATGGTGAGGCGGGAGACGTTGCCCTCCTGGGCGATGAGGTACCTCCCTCCGGGCTGGATCTCCACCTCGGGCTGGGCAATGTCCCGCAGCCAGGTGAGCCGCGGTGCCGGCGTGCTCTCGGTCACACGGCACGTCAGGGTCACGTTGTCACCCACGAAGCAGGTCTTCGGGGGCTCCGATTCTAGCGATGGGACTTCTGAACAGCCCAAGGGGGAAAGAAAAAGAAAAAAGAGTCAAGGAGGGAATGGAGGAGTTTAACACACCGGGCAATCAGCCATCTGACTGATTAATAATCATTAACAGAAGGAAGTCGGGCAGGGGTCTGGGACTTGAGCGCTACAGGTTTGGCATTTGAGTCATCTATGAGACTTCAGCCACCCTCAAAAAAGCGATCAGAGCAATTTCCCTGTTCTGTCCTGGTTTTTGACATCCACCCTTATACCCCTGAGGTGGGAGGGCAGCCAGCAGGAAGATGGCAGAGAGGAGGAAGACAGTTCAGAAATTTTCCTTGGGATCAGCAGAGCTCTTGTGCAGCCCCAACAACCCTTGGAGGATAAATACACTCAGGTTTTCAAAAGCCACTTTAGTCAGACCCCTTAGACGCTCGCAGGGGGCCTGGGCGCACGCACGACCCTCATTAATAACTAATAAGGCAGGGGAGTCGACTCACTTATCTCCACGGTGCACGCAGGCTCCTCCTGCTTGACTACGTGGCTCCCGACACACTTGAACACTTTGTGGTTGGCCAGGTGGGAGCTGTTCAGCGTTTCCACGTGGGTGTCAGAGGAGCTCGTGGAGCTGAGGACCCAGCTCGAGTTCTCCAGATCGTGCCCCTCTTCTCTCCAGTGCAGGGTGGGGTGGGGGTACCCCCCAGGCCAGCTGCAAAACAGCTGCAGCGCCAGCCCCGACGAGGAGGTCTCGGCCCAGCACTTTGGGATTGAGCGCGGTGGATCTACCGGCAAGAACAGCACCGGGTTAGGAACGCTTCAGGTCACAGGCAGGGCTGGAACCCCCGCCAGTGCTCGTGTTTGCCATCATTCCCCTTGAAAATCTTCCCGGTTCCCCTGCCTGTCCTGCTCCCTGGCCTGTTTCCCACGGCCTCAGGGCAGCACAACTTGGAACGACGGCCAGCAGGGACTAAGCAGGAGCTTGTCCTGCAAAAGCCACGACAGCAACTACAGCCAAGCCTTGAGGGACTAATGCACAGGGAGGGAAAAAACCAAATTATCACCACAGTTTTATCCAACGGAGACAAGATAAGGGCCTAAAAACACAGCAGGAGGAAAGAATCTCCAAGCAATTCCTTCCCGCTGCCACGCGGGGCCGGACGGTTGTTTACTCACCCACGCACCCCCAGTCTGTGCCCACACCACAAGGGCAGCCGTGGGGACAAACTCCAGCGAGGAACGCAGGTAAAGTCACCGCTGGCCTCGTGCCAGGGCCACTTTCTAACCAGCACGAGGATGTTTGTTAAACACAGAAATGACTACACGATGGCAGAGGCAGGTCAGGAGGCAAGAGAAAGCCAAGAGCAATCCCTTCGGGCTCCCATCAGACGGGCTCACACGCAAAAACCCCAGGTGAGCTGCAAGAACGTGCCTTCTCGGGGCTTGGCTTTCCTGGAAATACACACACGCATCGCGTACGATCTCTGAAACCATCCAGCTCGAGCTAGCAAGTTCTCCATGACACCTCCCTCAGTCCCAGCTCTGGGGAGGTCTCGTAACTGATCCCAAATCCTGGCTGTGGTTACTGAAATGCGACCTGTCGGCCTCCATCACCAGAAATCATCCCGCGTCGAGAGGCAGACGCAGCCTCCCAGCGCATCCAGCCAGAGAACTGCGCTTCTCGCGCTGCTTCCAGCACCCTGCCCCCTGGAGCCGTCAGCTTTACACCCCGAACTCCCAGTAAAACTCCCCTCTGCTGCCTAAATGCTAACAGAGCTCTGTTCCCAAAACGTGACAACCTCCAACCGTGCCACAACCAGAAATAAACGGCGAACGCGAAAAACCAGGGTCCCTGCTTCTATTCTCAGGTTGAGAAGCTTCAACTTCTGGCCTTTGCTGATGCTTCTTCTGCTGACCCAAAGTAGCACCCGAAGTACCTCTCTCACCTACTCAAGGACACGCCAGTGTCCCGTATCATGTTTGTAACCTTTGGCAATTAATTGGCACATTAATTCCACGCCAATAAATGAAGTTCAGAGTGCAGCACCATCACTTGGCACGCCGTACTTATCTTTTGCTAGCGAGAGTTTTGCACCAGTGCTCCAGATTTAGGACTTCCCCCTCATAATATATATATACACACAGATATATATATTCTCTGAAGCGGCCCAAGGTTCAATTCCTCCAGTCCAGCCTTCCATGACCCTCTAAACCCCACGTGCAGGTTCTCTGCCCACCAGGAAAGGAATTTTTTATTCGTGTGACCTTTCAGAGATTTAATTTTTACGAACCAGGTACAACTTTTACAACATGCACCCTTCACCAAACACCAAGAAGGAAGGAACACCCTGAACGCAAACAGAGAACAGGTCTCACGCACAGCGGGTGTTGACGGAAAGACTGCCAAGAAAGGCAGGAGCATGGCGGGTCACCCAAACAGATAAACTTGCAGAAGGGACCTGCACCAGCAGCATGCAAAGTAACCGACTTGAGTGCTCTCCAGCCCCATCTTCCACCTGTGCCGTGAAGATTTGAAAGACAAGGAATGAATGAAATTGGGATGGAAGTGGGAAAAAGCACCTGAAGACACAACAGGACAAAAAGGCTGAAAGAATATCCTGTGCTAGTAACGACAGGACAGCGCTCCCAGCAGGAAACCTGAGCAATGTTGTTCCTCAGGACTTGGCAAAGACTCATCAGCTGAGGACCCTCCATTCTCACACCAAAATGATGGTTTCAAGGAACGGCACAGCACACCTATTTCAAACGCGTTATTCTGATCACAGGGAAAAGGACAGTGAGGAGCAGGCTGCACCCGAAGATTCACAAAGCCCCAAGTCAGCCAGATTCTGAGGCAAAGAGCCACCCTGGAACAGCTACAGGCTACGAAAGATCTGTCCAAATTAATCCAATTTATCATCAGCAGGGAAGAAAGAACCAAAGAGGCAGAGCAAGGACTAACAGCTGCCATTCCATCCTTTGCTTCTCACACAACTAACGCTTGTCAGACCGCTCAGACACACGTCTTGGTGCTTGCGAGGGAACGAACAACCGGGTGGTACCAGCCTGCTTGCAGATTTTTGTGCGAAGAGGCTTCCTTGCCCTTTTTCACTCCATTTTCCCCAGTCTATTCCTCCAAGGGGAGGAAATTCCCAGAGCGTGAGCCCAGACTTACTGGCTACCAGGAGTCGGACCCTGTGCTCGTGGTCCGTCTTGTTGAGCACCTCCCTGCAGGTGTAGTTGCCCTCGTCCTGGGCGCGCAGCCCCGTGATGCGCAGGGAGCTGTTGTCCACCAGGGAGAAACGGACGTCCGGGGGCAAGGAGACCCTCGAGGAGAAGAGCGGAGGGAAAGAACGAGGGTCCCCTTGAAACCAGACCACCTCGGTCGCTTCTTTGGAGACATTTCGGCAGAAAAGGAGGATGCTTCCTCCGACTTGCCCGAAGACGACTTCCTCCGTTCCTGAGAAAGGGAAATCACAGAATCACAGAATGTCGGGGGTTGGAAGGGACCTCGAAAGATCCTCTAGTGCCAGAGCAGGATCACCCCGAGTAGGTCGCACAGGAACGCGTCCAGGCGGGGTTGGAAAGTCTCCGGAGAAAGAAAGCAGTGTCAGGGATGTGAGGAACCGGCAAAGCCCTCTTCTTGTTTGGACATCTGATATGTATCGACCCTCTGGGGTTACCATTAAGGGGGGAAACACCCTCAAAGGATCTCTAGGGTACATTTGGCCACTAAAAACATTCAGCAAGAAGGAGGACTCAGCTTGAAAGGCTCAACAGGGAAGCCCGAGAGAAGCCAGCCCGTTTCCAAAGGGGAACCTTGTGACTTTCAGCACGAAAACCCCACAGTTTCGAGTTTGGGCAGGCTCCTCCTCAGGAGTCTGGTGGACTC